AAGGATTCATAAAGATTCGCTTTTAAAATAAAACTTGTTATATAGAAGCTGATTATTGTATTTCTAACTTGACACAGTCATCTACTCTGCTTATCAAGCATGTGGTTTTAATGTGACTTTAAAAATACGCAGCTTTAAAGTAAGATGCAAAATAACATTTACATGCCATCTGTGATGTAGAGAGGAAAATATACCTTCAGGGATTTGAGTGTTCTTGTAAATGAAGAGAGAACATGTATTTCAGATTCAGAACATATGATTTCTGGGTCAAAGGATCAGTCATTAATTAGGGGGTTATACTAGTCAAGAAGACTATGAAGAAGTTAAAAAGCCGTATGATCCACCTAGAACGTGGTGCAGTGGCAAACACGGCTGGCTCACGCCACGGAGGGAGGGTTCACCTTCTCTGAGTGTCATTATGGGGTTTCCTCACAGCCCAGGAACATGCAGAGAAGAGCAGGAGCTGCCGGACGCTCTGTGTGACCTATGCGGGGCTGATTCCCCGTCCTGGATCATTTCCTGGCTCATGCTCATACCTTCTGGGATCGGCTCCACAAAGGTCAAGTAGATATGGAGAATGGATGGATGAAGTAAAAGTGAGATCTTCTTAAATTCTAAAAAAAGGCTGTGAAAACATAAATCTCAAGGGCAAAGATTTAGTTATGGACAGTAATGACCAACACTGTGGGGGTACAGTGTGTGTTTAGGGGGTGGGGGGTCGGGGCTGATTTGGTTCCTACCAACATTGTGGGGGTACAGTGTGTGTTTAGGGGGTGGGGGCTCGGTGCTGGTTTGGTTCCTACCAACACTGTGGGGGTACAGTGTGTGTTTAGGGGGTGGGGGGTCAGAGCTGATTTGGTCCCTACCAACATTGTGGGGGTACAGTGTGTGTTTAGGGGGTGGGGGGTCGGGGCTGATTTGGAACCTACCAACATCGAAACCAAACCTGCACCTTTAATAAGTCTAGACACTCTTTTGTAGCTGGCATGTTTAAACAGATGTATTGATATATTGCGACTGCAGTTGTGTCTGTGAAAGAACAGAGATAATCAGAAGTTTGCACTATTTGTTTCACCTTTTAAGATATACAATGAAAGGCCGCTGTTTTGGTTGAAGAGATTCCAGGCAATAACGAAGAGCCCTTTTACATCCTCCATAGGCATGAGGTATGCGTGACCTGTCCTTGTACCCATGAGATCTTTAGAAAATGGGATCCATCTCATTATTGTGGCCATATAACAATCAACCTCAATGAGACAGAGGACTGGCTGTTTTTATACAAAAATACAGCGAAACTGGAATGTATGCAATAATATATTAATTGCATTGAGTGCTTACTAAATTTCCTAAGAATTAAGTGCTAGTGAAAATGTACAATCACTTCTTTTGGCACCAACACAGCAGGGACACAGATTCTTACCACCAGCACTACAAGAGCAACATGAAAAATGCTACAACTTGTAACATGATTCAGAAATTGGGGCTGTTCCAGTGATTGTAGGTGCTGTGTTAATATTTCGCAGAGAGTAATCAATTAAGGGCAAATGGGTATGATGGATGCTAGGGCTGGAGATAAAAATAATGAGTTTCCTGAATGCATAATCAATTTAAAGGGCGACTTTGGCTAATTATCATCAACTACTGTACATATGTATGGATGCATGTATGTGTGTTTGTGTCTGTCTCTCTCTTATTCTATAGCTAGGGATCATTTTCAAAACAAATGACACAACGCTTTTTTCCCCCTAAATTTAGTATTTTTTTCCAACACCAGACTATAGTACACAGATGAGGAAAGTCTGAGACAGAATGTGCAAATGAAATGCTGTCTTTTCAGCGCATGTTGAAAATGACCCCCGAACCTTTACATTTGCAAACTAATCTGCAATTAGATTGGAATTTCAAGCTCAGTATTTGTTTTGGATTTCGCTATATAACCACTGTACATATACTGTATATATATATATATATATATATATATATATATATATATATATACACACACACACACAAATACACTATATATGTTTCTGTGTGTATTTTAAAGTAGGTTACATAGGTATAGCTTAAACTAGGCATTAATATTGAAATGTTGCAATGCGTTTATAAATACAGCCTATTAATATTTGTTCATAAAATTGCATTGAACTGTCAGGATCAGTGCCCGTCTGGCCCTGTCTGATGTGTCTTGCCCCCGTTTGGCCATCCAGCGTCGCTGGCCATTTTGTTAACTCCTCTGTTTTGTAGCCCCTGTGTGCGTAGTGTGTTTGCACGCTGCCTGGGGCCCCCGCATTGCTTATCAATGCTAGGAAGACGTGGATGTTTGGTCTGTGTCAGCGCTGTTCTCTGGTAGAGTCTAAGTTCCCGTGTCTCTAGTGTTTAACTCCTTACTCAGTTGCACGTTTTCCTAGTTTTATTTAGCTCAGGCTTTACTTGTTTTGTTTTGACCCCTCGTGGTCCCTTAACTTTCTGGTTCGCCAGTTGTGTTCTGTTTGTTAATAAACCTCCTTTTTTTGACAGTCGCTATGTGGATTGTTCCTTCTTCATGATGTCCCGCCACAACACGAACCTTTGCATCATAAAGTTTACTAGAACCTCTGAACACGAATACCAGAACTTCAAAGAGATCAACTCAAACATTTTTAATATAAAAACGCAACATTTAATTAATTTCCATTTAAAGCTCTAATGTTTACGGGGGGATCATTTATCAGGTGTTTAATTATTAAAATCTTAAGAAAGATATATTCATTTAAAAATAAATAAAGATTAATGGCTCTGGTGTCAAATAGCAATTAAATATTGTTTAATATTCAATTTTAGCAACACCTCTCTTGATACTGTGTAACCATGGAAACACTTAGCGAACCACTACAGTCACCTGGAATAGTTCCTTAGGATTTCTAGTACTTAAACATTCCCAGACGATTGTTGATCTTTGGATTTGACATTTCTCCACATTCCTTCAACTGAAATTTAGTAGACGGATCTTATAAAGGTGATTATGTGTAAAGAAATAACATTCTCCATAAACCATGATTTTTACCTTGGAAATCCCGTAAAATCGGAAACTGACTACTTATGTTATAACATTGATAAATCCCTGCCTCTTTCTAGTGCTTGAAACAGGGCAAAAAATTCCGTGAACGTCTCTCGCGTAAGAGACATGCACTTATTTCAGTGTAAACACGTATCGGGCGAGACTGGCGCGACTTATCAGTGGGAACTGAAAAAAATCTGCGCAATAAAAATAAATGAATAAAAAAACAACTTTTCCGTCCTCGCCAATTGTACATCACTGTTGATATTTTAATAACATTTTATTAACAACCTGTATGTGATCAGCAAAAACATCACAAAGCGGTCATTTGACATCGATTCCATATTTAGTCTGTAATTGAGTGAAACCGGTCACACCGACTTCAGATATAATTAATACTGCACACAGAATCTTGCTTTGCGGGTCCTCAACATATAGGCTATACGTAAGGGAAAGCGCTGTTTAATTACATTTAAGCATTAGATATTATAACAGTCATGTGCGCGACGCATTCCAGATTAGAATTAATTTCTTAATACGGATAAACAATAGATATTATAACACTTTAGATATATTACTCTGTTTCGCTAGATTTCATCACATGTCTCTGTCTCCTTCCCAAAACATCTGCAAAAAGTCGCAAAATCAATTTCGAAGGCGGACTCCATGAGTAACGGCGACCTCAGAGAAAATGATTCCCTATCACATGTAAAAAGAGCTAATGTCATATAAAACGCGTTATGATTATGTGTGCAGTTTTTGCGACTTTTTAGTCTTCAGTTTGTCTAGAAACATTTACGAAATTTGTGTATAAAGGTATGAGAATTAAATACATCCCGCACCGTTCCCCCCCACAGGTTCCAAATTATTCTGCGTTTTAATGTTTCACGGGATTTCACGGGGGTTCAGACGCTTCAATCTTTCCACGAACCGATTTTAAAAACATGTAACATACAGTTTTCAAAGTGTAAACAAAACGACATCGTCTGTCTATAGGCTATACTCCCGAAGCGATTTTGTTGTCGTTTTACACCTGCGTGACATTTACCAGAGCTCTAGTCCTGGAAAACAAAAATTATTTGAAAAGCATAGCATTCCAATAAAAATACGATTAATATCTATATACGAAGTTTAAAAGATTGGGCAACATGTCTGAAGAAACCGCACAACAATCAATTCAGACACACCATGCCTGGGAATAAAACAACGCTAATCAGTACTCATTCCGCTTATAAACACAATTACAAACATGTTACTGTGGAAAAACTGAAACGATGCACTAGTCTCTACTGTGAATTCATACTTAAAAGTAAGAGAAGTTAGATGTCTGCACCACGACCACTAAACGAGGGAAAATGTTACACTTTAGTTCAAAGCGTTCTTTCCTTATAGATATCGATATCGTAGATAAATCCTCCACTGCTTTTACTGAAAAAATGAGTCACAAAATCACAACAAACATCTGACAAATTCACGGAATGCCAATAAGGAAATTGGCAGTTTTATTGTTTGAATCAGTCAAAGTAAATTCTTTTATGTGAAAGACAGCTGCATTGTTAGTGCGTGTCACTCATCGGTGCCGGCAAAACAACAGGCATCACAATTAACATGTCTGTGTGAGTGATTATTTCATGTTGCGTCTCGTAAAGAAATGTAACGCACTGCAAGTCTCGGGGATGCGACTGTCCCCATAAAATACAAAAATAGAACATTTAATATATGCTAGTGTTTTTAATTAGACACGACTATTTATATACTTATTAGCGATTGAACAAAAACGATCAAGGAAAGAAACAGCAATCAACAGGTTTCCTTGACATGTATTCGTGCGCTCATGCAACAGCAATCCATGCAACATCGACGTGTACATATGTAAAGTTGTCCATATGTCGAATGGCGATGAACAAAAACACGAACAGAAAGCTTTCAAAGTTGCAATAAAAGCATAGATAACACTCACCTGTGGACTTCTCATTCACCGTGTATGACGCGCCTGTGTTTGTGCCGTTTTTTAGAGTTTCATTCTGTCTGCAGCAATAAAGGGTGACGACGATGTGCGCTCACGAAACGTCAAAAGTCCGAAACGAGTAAGTGCTGCAATACACGCTGATTTAGTTTGCCTGATAACAGACAAATCTTTCAATTTTCTGAGATATTTTCTCCTTCATTCCCGGCGCTTTCCATATATGGTCAGGGGAAGTGCTGGCACTGTTTTCTTGCCTAGGGCTGTTGCTGAGGGATATCAAAATCTCTCTTCAGTCAAGGCGACGGGAGGCTCTGTGCTTCGCCTGCTCAGCTAGACCTGCGTCTTTTGCCATGTGTTAACAAAGGCTCACAAACAACCATAACTGCAAACTGATATGGAAATGTAAACAAATGAAAATACAAAAAGCTAAACAAACATACAGCAGTTAAAATGTTGATAAACATGTGCTGATATATCTCGATCTCTCTAACATTATCGTCCAGGTCATTCCACTTAGACGATAATTGCAAATACAGTATATGGAAAGCTAAAGTGCTTGTGGAGGCAACGCTATTCTGTGTTGAATTTCAGGCTGAGAATGATTCTGTGATCTCAGCACACCTAATCACTGGTAATGGGGGCACTGGTACTGAAGCATACTTGTGGAAATATGGACAGCAGTCCTTGGGAAGCACTTGTTGACCTGCCCAGTACCAATTACAAGGTGGGTCAGAAGTGGTCACCCTCCTCAGCATCTAACCCAAAGCACATGGTGTGAGCCGTTTGGGCCCAAGTATGACAACATGACAAATAATTGATGTCTGTATAAAATTACACCTAATACGTCTGCATTGTATAGATTAAGAAAACTGTATATAGAGCAAAGTATTAAGCAACACCTAATTACAGCCAATTGTCTTCAAATCTTTTCTCCTCTTAAGGGCCTGGGTGGGGGAGCCACCCAGAATGAGATGCCAGATTATCGCAAGACACATACATACGCATGCAACCACACACGCAACTTAGAGATGCCATCTGTCCATCATAACTGTTTATTTCAGTGAAGCTGGAGTCATCCCAGCCAGCATAAGGCACAGACTCACACGTGTGTGTGCATGCGTGTGCGGAGTTTGCATGTTCATCCCAGCCAGCATAAGGCACAGACTCACACACACATGCAGTATAAGTCATTCAGAGACACCAGTTCACCCAAGTGCAGGTCCAGAAGAGCCATAGGAAACCCACAGCACACTAGGAAGACATGCAAACTCTACATGTACAGAGCAGAGGTATTATTGTAAGCCCTTATCATGGAGGTGCGTGGTAGCAGCGCTGCCTATCGAGTCACCAGGCCAATCAATACCTAATTATACTTCATTTAGTTAACCTAACATTGTGCACTTGATGCAATCTCAGTGCCAGGTGACACTGTAGCTTCACATCTTCATAATTGTGGTTCGTATCCTGCTCCTGGTTCTGTGTGTTGAATTTGCATGTTCTCCCCATGTGTGTGCGGAGTTTGCATGTTCTCCCCATGTGTGTG